CAAGGCGCACAAGCGCCTAATGCATCTGCAGAGACCCGTTTTGCACCTCATCCTTGATGAGGCCCACCTGGACCACGAGGAGGCGGTCAATCCCAGGCGGTCGTGCTCGTATTTCTTCTTAAGCTCCTCAAGATACTCGTCTGCTCCGTAGAAAATCGAGGCCTTGCTGTGGGCAGCCTTGCCCTCCTTACCCAGGAGCGGGGCGCTGGTCGCCATGGATGCAATGACAACAGAAACAGGAACGGATCTTTTTCTCTCTTTCTCTCTTTCTCTCTTTCTCTCTGTCTCTCTCTCTCTCTCTCTCTCTCTCTTGAATGCTTGCTTGCACAGCGTGTGGAGCGAGGAGAACGGATCCCCTCACCCCTGCGCACGGCGCGACGCTGAGAGTCCAAGTTCGGTCTGTTGTGAAACATTTCGGGGATGTGGTTGCGAGCCGGATCATTTCAAACAGGCACTGTGCTACGACAACAAGTCCCATTGCATACGTACTACATGCTACCACGACATGTCCCGGCCTTGTCCAGCTCGCAGGCACTGTTTCCCCGATCTTTGGTACTTAGCTCGGCCACTGTGTCTTTCTGGTGGCTTGGCCTTTTGTCTCTCTCTCTCTCTCTCTCTCTCTTTCTCCGGGCCTGAGGGCGAGCCCCCGCGGGAGCCGCCCGTCTGTTGGTTGTTTGCATGTGTGTTACACGCGGAAATGCGAGCGCTCCTCGGCGACATTTGGCATAAATCCCCGAAAGCTAGCCATACTCTCTCTCTCTCTCTCTTGCTTGCATAGGGCCAGGGACCGGGAGAGGACACGCACCCCCCGCGCGCAGGCGCGCACCGATCTCTCTCTCTTTCTCTCTCTTTTTTTTTTTGCCAGGGCTATGATGTACGGGTTTTACCCCGTGTCTCTCTCTCGCTCGCTCTCTCTCTTGCTTGCTTGCTTGACGGGCGTTTGGGGTGAGGGAGAAAGCGAGTTCCTCTGCCCCTGCGCGCGAGTGCTACGCCAGTGTTCGTGTCAGCTCTTTCTCTCTGTCTCTTTCCCCCCCTCCTTTCGCGAGGGTAAAGGAAGAACGAGCGACCCTCTTCCCCGGCGCTCCGCGCCCACCAGAATTGTTTGGGGAAGCCAGGTGATGTCCTCCCAAGACATCGTGCCAGGAATTCCTTTTCAGTAGATTCCGGAACTCTTTCGCAGCGTGATCTCCCGCCGAACACGAGACCCTGAGTCATCAAAACTCCTACAGCATTGAAAGATCGAAAACCCACGAAACTTGGGCGAATTATGGCCAGGACCGCTGGTGTGCGAAGAAGACGGCCGCTTTGTGCTCGGGGGAGCGCCTGGGCTCATTTTCTGCGTGTCATTCTATTGCCTTCCGTTTTCGTCGACATCGTCCTTCTGGATTTATTACTGCTCGTTACATTGATTTGCTCGGATGACAAGCGGGCCAAAAGCTGGGCGGCGAGATGACCTGAGGGCGAGGCCTAGGTAGGACCGGTTTCGCTCCCTTTTCGTTGGGGGAAACCCCAAGCCAGGCAAATAATGCAATGGCACGCCAAAAACGGTCTTCAGATACAGCCACGTCGCTGCTGAAGAGTGTGCCTCGATGGTCTTACCCACGGGAGGAGGTTCCTTACTGGTGTGTTCGTTCTAGTTGTGGTCTTGTACGCTCGGAGCAGTGAGTGGGCCCCTGTCGCAACGCCGGCCTGCATGGTTTTCCAACCTTTGCTCAACACAAGGGTTTTCTCTCCTACTTCGCTCAACACTTAGCCTGGTGGCAACCCCCCCCCTCATTTTTCCACTTGTGCACTTTTTTTTGACAGACAGACAGCAAAGCTGGTATCTAGCGAAGCGACTATCGATAGGTTTCGCACGACGGTAAAACCCCGCTTCTCAGCTGTGCTGCTGTGTATCATAGTCAGACCAGCCGCTGGAGCCTTCCAAAACACGAGAATCCCGCCCCCGTGGGCTTTGTCCATACGGCTTAAGCCACGAATTCTTCGGCCGGTGTTTCCTGTTGCTAAGCGAGGTTAGAGGTTTGCTTTGACTGGAGGTCGTGGGTTTGTGTAGGCGTGAATCATACCCTGACGTCGCTTTGTTTGCCGCTGTCGCACGGCATCCACTCCCTCCGTCGCCGTTGGTCGCGTCGTTGGTCTCGATACTCGTCTTTGGCTGCCTGTCGAGTGCGTAAACTTACAATTCTCAGTCTGCGTGCCAAAGTCACGAACGCGACGATGAGGTAGTCGCCATTCGAGGTAGGGCTCGGAGTGGGTCGGGTTGCGCCCGTAGGCCCCGAGTCGGTTCGCCGAAATCCTTGACGTAGCAGATCACAAACGGCACAATAGTCAGCACAGCAGCGGTTGTGAAGGGAAGCATGCAATCTTTACCAAGTCGCCGGTCAGGACCCCCGGCAAGAAGCATGTGTGGACCCCCGTTTCCGTGTCCGGCAATGGGTCAGGCGGCCAGAGAAGGGGCAAGAAAGAAGAGCGAGGCGCCCGGGTTTACCCCCCGAGGTCAAAATGGTTCTCCTGAGCCAAAATGGCTACCTCTCCCTCTTCTTCCCCGGGGCATGAGGCGTTCGAAACCCCCCGGCCACAAGGCCCCCCCGACGTTCATGGAGGCTTGGGGGAGTGTGAGAGCAGGATGCTCCCCTTCTTCAGCAGAAGCGCTAAGTTGGAATGATGTTATGATGTTAACAGAAGTGTTCAGAACTTGTTCACAAGGGTTTCACATCCTTTCTGACACATTCTTGGTAGCTCGGTGGGGAACGACTTCTTGCTTGAAAAACATGCCCGACAGTAGTTGCACAAATTGTGTATCTCAAAGACAACATCGACCTCTCCCTTGCTTGCTTGCTTGCTTGCCGGGCGTTTGGGTTGGGGAAAGCAAGTTCCCCTCCCCCTGCACGCGAGCATACGCGAGCGCTACGCCAGTGTTCGTGTGTGTCGGCGTGAAACTTGGTTGTGATCCCCAACTCCCACCGACTCCCACCCCTTGCACTTCTGTATCCCCGCGCCTGGTGTATCGTCCGGGTTCCCAGGTGCGACCTCTCCCCCTCTCTCTCTGTCTGCCTGCCTGGCCAGCCGGTACGTATGTGTGTATGACTCACGTATGTACGCAGGTACCTTTATAGGTATAAGGGAAGATGCGGGTAGGGTATGTCTGGGCCATGCTGGCACCGCGCCTTCTTCTGCCAGAGCCACTGCCACGCTGTTGATCTGCCTGGCACCGGCAAAGTTGAGCCCCTTGCGGCCAGGCACGAACCTGGCCTGGACTGCGGCGGGAAGGACTCGGACTGCTTGGAGCGGCTGGCGACGCCTGGTGCGCTTCGCGGTCTTGCCGAAACCGAGGCCCCGGGTCCTCTTCTTTCGAGCGGCCACACCAGCAGACGCCGAACGGCGCCATACCTTCATCTCTTCCGCAACAGCGTAGAATGCGAAGCCAAGCTAGGAGCCTGCCGCTTGCCTGGCTATGGCTCCGAGACATTATCATCCCATGGAAGGCCAAGCTTTGCAGCAATCGCTCGTTGCGCTGTTGGAGCACCTTCCAGAGTCTCTGCTTGACAGCTCCGCAACCCTCCAAGACGAAACGAGGCCTTGAAAACCGACTCCATGTGCTGCACGACCCATCCTCGCCTCTGCAGTAGGCTTCTTTGTTCTGGGATGCAAGCGTCCACGGGCGGCCGAAGTACCTCTGCTGCAGGGCCGCGGCCTCAAAGCAGGCTGCCTGCGCCATCTCCCCGTGCATCTCTCTTAGGACCCGGCCAGCTGTGCCGCTTCACAGCGTGCAGCCACGAGATCCTCCCCAAGGGCCGTGCGCGATGGCGGTCTTTCCAGCGACTCAGCAACCGCTTGGTCCCTTGGGCCTGCCGCGTGCGGTGCCTGGCAGCTCAGAATCGCCCTCTAACGTCCAAACCTGAAACCACACGAGACGAAGGTCCCTCTGTATCATCATGTCTACTTCCCTCAAGCGTTCCTGTCTTTGGGTACTGAAGCACCGCTTGGAGCGGCTTCCTCTCTTGACTTGAGGACGTCATGATCGTTCATTGCAGAGAAGCTCTCGAAGAATCCGACTTGAATTGCCCGGAGCTGGAGTAGCTCAAAGCCAATCGCAGCAGAGCTGGCAAAGCCAGGAAAGAAGTAAAGGCGTCGGAAATGCCGGCTATGCCTCTGCTTGATGGGTCCATAATCTGTAGGCTTTGTCTGCATTCTGCTCCTGCACATCCTGCTGTGATGGTGCCACGTGGTGGTCCGCTTTCGCTGTCCTCCTGCTCAGACATTGGCCACACAACCAGCAGTGTCTGTCTTCCTCTCTAGCTCTCTCCCCTCGTTCCCGCTCTGTTTTCGTCTATCTGCCCCGAAAGCAAGCCAGGGGGACAGCTCCTCACTGAGGTGGACAGCGCTGCTGCTCAAGACAGAGAGCATGATATGCTACAACAAATTAAGCCTCCTCGCTCGTGATGCAGCCTGTTAGAGCGGGTCAGTCTTGCGGTATCCTAGCACGCCGTAATGTGCTGCTACAACCCACGGACATCAAAGGAGCCAAGTCGCTGTAAGATATGAGTTCGCCGCAGCTCCCCAGCCATCTTTGAACCAAGCCCACACATCAAACAAGGTTTTGTCTCCACATACTCCCAAGAACCCCCCACCCTGCGCTGCTTTGGCTTTCCCAATCCAATGCTCACAAGAGAGGTCGGCTGCTTGGCGCTGCAGCTCGTGGCCTTTGGCCACCGCCAGCAGCGGCTCGAGTTTCCGAGCACAGCTTCAAGCACTCCCTGCCAAACCCTCCGAAAGAGCTGAGCTTCTCCAATTTGCGTTGCCTCGCGTGTCCTTGATCTCCTTCCACAAGCCTCCTTGTGCTGCCCAACCAAATCTTGAAGTCGATGGCGTCGACGCAGTGACCGCCCAGATGCCAGTGCAGGCGCAAAAGGTTGAGCTCTGCTTCACGATCTTCAAGCACTCGTGACTCGTGGCTTGCCAGAGCAGCTCATCCAGTGCCGGTCATCGGCGCTACGCCACTACCGCTCCGAATGACCAAGTGCTCGAAGAGACCTCGAAGGTGCCGGAGATTCCGCCGGAGATTCCGACGCCCTCATGAAACCTGTCACTGCCAACAGCGCCGTCCGTTGACCAGACAGTCGGCGGCCCAGCTGGGTATTATCGGACTGCGCGGCCTGCGCGGCCTGCACAGCAGCGCCGAAGGTAAGCGTGCTGTGCCGTCGCCCAGACTTCGGCGTTCGCAAAGAATGCGAGGACTGCGGGGCATCAGAATCTCCGGCCGCCTTTTGCACAGCCATGCCGAAGGCATTGAGTGCGCTGTGCCGTCGTCCAGGCTTCGACTGCATACGTAAAGATTGCGACGACTGTGGAGCGTCAGGGTCTGTGCCACCTCCAGGCGTGCGGATCGAGTTGCTGACGCCAAGTTCCAAGTCGTCTTCGGCATCAGCACGCTCCTTTGCGTGGGCCTTTGCAGCACTACTCAGCGCATTGAACAAAGTCGTTCGCCGACGGCCCTTTCGAGAAGCTAGCTCAAGTGGCTGGTCATCGCCACGAAAAGACTTTGAGCGATTTGGCGAGGCGTTGCCGGATTCGGGTGAGTCTCCTGAGGCCACAGCCTCTTCATCTGTATGGTGAGCACTGGCCTTCATGAAACCACCCACGGCCAGCAGAGCCGCGCGTTGCCCCGACACTCCCGACACTCGACGACCCGACCCTGCATCTCCGGCTGCATTTTGCGCAGCCATTCCCAATGTATTGAGTGCGCTGTGCCTTCGACCAGACTTCGGAGTTCGTAGAGACTGCGAGGACTGCAGGGTGTCGGAGTCCGCGCCTCCTCCAGGCGAGCGGATCGAGTTGCTGATGCCAAGTTCCAAGTCGTCATCGGCATCAGCACGTGCTCTCGCTTGAGCCTTCGCAGCACTACTCAGCATATTGGCCAGAGTCGTTCTTCGGCCGTCCTTTCGCAAGGCTGGCTCGAGTGGTTGGTCAGCGCGAGACTTCGAGTGACTGGGTGAGCCTTTGCCAGATTCGGAAGGTGAATTCTCAGCTCCTTCTTTCTGGTGGACGCCCTGCATGAAACCACCCACGGCCAGCAGAGCTGCACGTTGCCCAGACATTCCAGACATTCGACGACCCGAAGCGTCTCCTACCGCCCTCTGCGCGGCCATTCCGAAAGCACTGAGCGCGCTGTGTCGTCGCCCAGACTTCGACGTGCGAAGGGTGTTGGAGGACTGAGGGGATGCATCCCCTCCTTGCAGGGTGCTGCCACTAGCGCCCGGGCCAGTCTCCCTGTCGAAACGTCCTAAGATGTCAGCCATGGCCGCGGCACCTTTGCTCATGGATTGCCGCCGTGCTTTCATGACCGCGCTTTGCTCGGCTCCCCTTTTCATGGAGCCTTTGTCTTCGGCAGGGGCGGCAGCGGCCAAGCTTTGAGGGAAGTTCTGGGACTTCTGCAGACGCTCGAGCACCTGCCCGGTCACCAACTTCTCGCTGGTCCTGCACAGAGAGTTTAGGGCTTACAGCATCCGGCAGCATCTGGCAGCCGTGCGAGCCTTCGAGAGTCCACCCTGCCAGGTCCCAAGGCAGCTCAACGCTTTGGAAACTGCTCCAATTCTTCGCACTCTCTTCAGTTCAGCGCTTTAGAGATTTGGCAGCCAAGTTAAAAGAAACGCCGAAAGTCTTCGGACTTCAGACACAAAAGCGCTACCCTCAAAACCGCAAGAAGCAAAAGCGAGCCCATCCTAAAGTCTCCCTAAGAGTAAAAGGAACCGGGTCCGAGCCTGGAGATCGAGGACAGTGAGGATGCCCTGGAGTGTGGATTTTCAGAGTCTGCATCATCCCCGAGCCCTTCTGCATCTCCCAGTTCGTCCGCCGAGGGCTCGGAGTCGCTCTGACAATGCTTTGCAGAGAGGAGCAGGCACAAGCAAAGCCTTCGCCTTCTGCATTTAGATTCGCTGCTCCGTTTCATCTCGTGCCTCGAGCTCCTCGGCCCGGCGACGCAGCATGCGCTGCGCTAGCGCCTCCCCCGAGGCTACAACTAAAGTCCTCACATACATCCTCATACAAAGAGGGAACTAGAGCGCCCCAAACCCTCAAAGGGTCGAAACTCCTCAGGCTCTCCGAAGCCGAAGGGGAGGAGGCTTGCGGGCGCCCGGGCGCCGCCCGGCCTTGGCTTCCTCAAAGAGAGACGTGGCCTGGCCCAGCTGGGCCTCCGCCCGTTCGCGAGCCTGCGTCTGCTCGAGCAGCTCCTTCTCCTTCTCCTCAGATCGCCGCGGCCGCAAACCAGCGCGGAACTCAGACGGAGACATGAAAGTGGCTCAGCTCGCGAGCTCGCCGAGCCACAGCGTTGGCCAACCTGACGCCAGCAGAAGCTCCCGTCTCATCTTTTCGGCAGCCACAACCTGCGCCGCAAGCCGCGCCTCGCGTCCTCCGCCTGGCGCATCGTCTCCCGCGCCACGACCAGGCTCACGTTGTCGTCGATGGACTCAATCATGGACTTGGCCTCGTCAATCCTGGAGAAGCACAAAACAACCCAAGGCTCAAGCCCAAGAAGAGGAGCACCAAAAAAAAACATCGCCCAGGAGTCCAGCCAGAGGCTCTCAGTTTGCAAACTCTCTTGAACACGCTGCTCATGACGAATTGCCCGTTGCACTTGCATTTGCTTCTGTTCCTGGCATATCTTGGAATTTTATGGACACGTACGAGTACCAATCAGTGCATTTCGATGCATAGCTTTGCACACTCCGCCGCTTCAGCACAGTCCACATCAAAGACGCTACGACGCTGCCTGGCCTGGTCATCGGCTTGCTTCTGCATCAGCTCCATCTCCGACTGCATTCCTCTGTCGCGGCATGGCATGGCAGTGCCAGGCTGGGTGAGGAGGGCTTCAGCAGCTGAAAGACACGCTGAGTCGGGCGCGTTTCATGTTATCCCTGTGCTCTTTCTCGTCCTCTTCGCCCTCCGCCTGCCTTGGCCAACACAATGGAAGCTGTGGCAGCTGACCCGTGCAAAGTGTGGGTTTAAGGTCGAGCCTGATAATGGCAAAGTTCTCCACTTCCTGCTCCTTCAAGCAAAATGCAGATTCCGGAGCATCATTGGAGGTACCGCGTCCTCGGCAGTCATCGGTTTTGGCAGGCGCTCGATGCGCCGAGTGAGCCGCATCATCGTGGCTCTCCTCATGCAATTAAGGCATCTTGCATATGCATAATATGTGTATATATATAATGTATATGTGAGCTATTGTCACTGATCAAAATGTTTGACTTATGATTAGAAATACAGGGCTGTTGGCCGTTCGTCTTCCAATGTTCGTCGGAACAATGCCAATCGCGCACGCTGACATAGCATTTGCGGACGCATGCACCAGTCGGCGAGAAGACGCATCACCCGAAGTATGGACGCTGTTTCTTGGGTTACACGTCAGTGCCGAGAAGTTGCATCAGTATATTCCCCTACTATGCTACGCTGTCACTCGAGCCTCGGCCTCAAAAGGCCTTCCGAGCATCGGACTTGAAGCCTCCAAGCGTCGTCGTCACCTCCAAGATCTTGTTCAAGCTCTCCTCCAGATCCTGGGCTGAGGGAGGAGGAGGAGGAGGAGGAGGAGGAGGAGGAGGAGGAGGAGGAGGAGCCCATTTTTGGGCAGAAACATGCCGAGTTACAGGTTCTTGGTACTTGATGAGGCTATTCAGCCCTTCGAACTTTGCCAGATGGTCTTCCAGCTTCTTCTGCGCTTTCCGGATGTCCGAAAGCTCACGCTTGAAGTTCCCTTGGTGGCATCGCGTGTGGCAATGAAGCCCTACCCCACCCGGCCCACCCGTCCGCTAAGCCCCGAAGTTGAGAGGCCCCGGCACTCCACCGAGTCGTCGAAAAGCGACAGATTCTGAAAGGCGCTGCCGCTTGTCGGCAGTTCCTCCGCGGCCTCGCCACCTGTCTTCTTCCTCAGATGGGGCGGCTGTGGGCTCCCCGTTATGCGATAACCTTAAGCAAATCTTCTCGAGTGCAGTTTGCGCATTCACGAGACAGGCCGGGCATCCCATGAGAATTCCGGCGCTTTCGCTGCTTCCGCGCATTGTACCGCTCCAGTCGCTTCTTCAGCTCCTCGATCTCGGCCTTCACCCGCGTCACCCGCGCGGCGTACCTCGGGCTCCGGCATCACCAACATGCAAAGTTGTCAGAGACTTTGACTCTTATAGTTCATCCTTAACTCAGTTACTCAGTTGTGCTTATATCACTGACGATCTTGCTCTTACTCGTCCTCTCCCGTCTTCGCACCCTGTAGCAGAGGCACTCGTTCTTGCCCAGGGATGCCGTCTCTTGTGCGACCCAGTCTTCGAGAGAGCCGTCGATCTCCCACCTCAGCTCCGAGGTCCGCGGAGAGTCACCAGTTTCTTGGGTTTCCGCCTTCGGATCTCCTTCACGACCTGGGCAGTCACCTGGGCCCCAACCCCAAGCAGAAGGCCACCAAACGGAACGGAGGGATACCTCGAAGGTTCAGCTGTGAGGATCCCGCGGGATCCTGCATCACATTGTCATCGCCGACCAAGGCTGCCAGGCTCAGCTTCTTCAGGGCGTGCTCCTCATCTATGTGAAATTTAGAATGCTGGTCTAAGAGCCTCCGTCGGCCACGTATCCCCAAGGTCTGAAGGCCATCTTTGGGGGCCAGGGGGCGTAGGCGTCGTGGCGCTTGGACTCCAAGTCCAGGACTTGGCGCAGCTGCTTGATTTCCTCCACCCTCGGCTTCGCTGTCCCCAAAGTGGGTTCCACTCAGGTCAGGCGGCTCAGTTGGCTACAGCACTCGGCTAAGGCGCAGCCAAGCTGCATCGTTTCTACGACCTCGAGGACGTCCGAGGGCTGATCGAGTGAAGCAGACTGACTGCCCAAGTCACGGATGCTCTGTCGCAGCTCCTGGAATTCCAGTTCTGGGCTTTGTCCGCGAGCCGCGAGTTTGGAGGTAGACTGGATAAAGCGATCGTTACACTTCAGCGGAAAACAATGACACCAGGTAAGATCTGTCTTGGAACATCATGATTGGCAAAGTTCATGGTAGTGTTAACTCAATCAGAACGTCGTATCCCAACGACACATATCATGCAGCCGCAACGCTTCGACGACCCCTCTCCGCACCGGCTCCTGAAGCGCCTTTTGCCGAGATCCCGGCACGGAGACGTATTGGTCCATGCAGCGGAAGTAGCGTTGCAGAGCCTGCCGACACGGGGACTCAACACTGCGGGGCTAGAATCGGGAGCGGCAGCGGAGAGAGTGCTTGTCTCCGCTTCTCAGGGAGTCGAAGACTGAGATGCCCTCTACAATGTCGAGAGGCTTGGGGCTGCGGGTTGGCATTGGGGCTCTGGCACATGTTGGCACATGTTGGCACACCTGGAACATCTGCAGCTCGTGCTGCTCCAAGTGAACACGTGACTCGGCGATCTCCTGCTCCAATTGCTCCCAGTCCTTTGCGGCGCTCTGCGGCGCTTTAAGCGGCACTCCTTATGACACCGTCCGGCGGTCCTGTCGCATGCGGCCCTCGAGTTCGTCCATCTCGTCGTTGAGTTTCTCGTTGTTGTGAACTCGCTTCGAGAAGCCCATCTGAAGCTCTTCCAGCGTGTCGACCTGTAAACACAATGCAGCTTTCTTCGCTCGTGCATTAACTACGGCAAGCAATCTCAGCGATCCGCGCGTTGGTCGAACTTGAACGAGTTCAAGAGTTCCTGTAGAAGCGAACCGTCCGTCTTGGTGGTCCGCATCCACAAACAAGCCTTCGCGTTACATAGCTGACAGGACCTGACAGGATGCCTTTAACAAGGAAGCCAAGAATCGAAACGGGAACCGGGAATCGAAACGCAAGGAATCGGAAGAGCACCGAACCGAACCGAATCGAACCGCAATGCCGGCCACGTGGAAACGAACTGACACGAACGGCAACACTGGCCGGAACGAACCGTGACGGCGGCCGCTGGCGGCAGGGCCTGCGTTTTTGCTGGGGGAAGCCGAAACTTGGCTCATCAGTCTAGAGATTGACGCCCCAATACTCCAAATTCTTCAGGCCCCGAATAATCCTAGATGACCAAGTAGTTTCGGGCAGGCCCCAGCCGTCCGAATACGAATCGAATGGAATCCATTCCCCTGGTTCCGCCCCAAACGAAACGCAACGATTCGGTAACCCGAGAGAACCACAACAAAAGGCAACTTTAAATTTGCTCTTGTGAGAACCTCATACCATTACGCGTCCTTCCTTTAAACACTAAGCGCTTGCAGTAACCTCGACTTTCAGTCGGCAAAGGTATGTCTCAAAGCTCGCAAAAGACTCGTCCTGAAACGTGTCCGCCGCAGTCTCCAGGGTCCAGTGCTGCATTGCCTGCGCGCACAGGCCGACATTGCTATTTTTCTGTCGATGAGAACTGTTGACTGCTTGGGTGCACGGCAGAGCTCGAGCCCCGAGCACTCCAAACGAGCTTCTGTTACAATCACCACTGAAAGCCCTGGATGGCCTCCAGAGACAACCAGCATCAAAACATGACTTATCTGCAATAGCTAAGGAGCCATAAAAGCAGCTTCTGATTCAAGTTTCGACGGGGGGTTCATAAGGAGCCAGACATGCCCAAAGATTTGGAAAAAACCTTGGTGCCTAGTGCAACCAAAGGAACTCCTCCTGCAAGAGCTACTCGCAACTGCTATATAAATCCTTCGATGCATCTTTTGACAGTTTTCTGGCGACTGGAACCGGCGTCGCCATCCCGCAGAATCGTTGCCACGCCACTTCGCTTGTTGCGTTCTGACTTGTTTGCATTGGGCTGACTTGAAGCAATGTAACACTCCTCGCGCCTGTCCCATGAATCTGCTGACTGCAACACTGCCATCTTTACAAGTCCTTCCTGCAATGCCCGCAAAAATCTCAACTTCCTACACCAGCAACGCCTGTCGATCTTGCTTCGTCGCTGAGCTATCGCAAAAAGGATCTTGACAAATCGTCGGCACTACTTGAGCGCTCCTTGTCTGCTCCTTCAGTCCATGGAAGCCCACAGCGGCGGGGACCCAACTTTGCCAACACTTCCCATGGCCTCGTCTTCTTGCTTCTGCTCCCACCTGGGCCGTTCGCCGTTCACGTCAGCAGACGGGACTGTTGGCCGCAAGGCCCAGGCTCCCCGAGCTGGTCGCTGGACTCGGAGCCCTCCGAATCCCGCGACGTCGAAGAGGACTCCACCTGCACTTCACTGGCGACCCTGACTGCTAGGTGTATGCTTGCCTTTGGCAAAGTAGAGTCAGCGGCTCGGGGGTATACGTGCAGCTGCCCATTGCCGCAGGTATTTGTTGGAGGTCGTTGTCTGTTGGCGCCTCCTCTGCGTCGGAGTCCAGGGGCGTGCTGATCTTCACTTTACTCCGGGGTCGCTCATAGAAGACCTGTTTCTCCTTCTCCATCACGGTTGGCGCAACCTTCATGGGCCTGAGGAACTGACTCTGATTCTCGGAACACCGGCAGTACACGCTGCGAAGCTCGGCCACGCACCTGGCCAGCCTCCGCGCCTGACTTTCAGGCTTGATTTGGACCAGCTTGCACTGTCGGTTCCATGACTCTCGCTCCTTCCTCTGGAAACGATCTTACGAGTACCAGCAGGGGCCCCTACACAAAACAGCAAAATGTGGGGCTGGCCGGCTCGCCTCCTCCACGGCCGCCCAGGCCTGCGTGCTGTCGGCCTCGTATTCAGCGAAAGGGCCAAACAAACTGAGCCTTCCGTGCCGGGCCGGGCTGGGCCATTGGCTTTTGGGACGTAGAGCTCCGAAGCCCCCTCGGCGAGCTTCACCACATGGCTGTCCATGGCCTCCTGTAGCAAACTGTGACACTGCAAAACCCCCGTCCGAAATGGCTACAAGCACGCGGAAGGCCTTGATCTTCATCATCCTGCGTCCGGCAACATGCTGCCTCGGCGCACGGCCGCGGACCCCGACTTGCCATTTTTGAGCACTCGACTGGCCGAGCTGCCGGGGAGTACTCGGCACCTTCATCTTGGCTCTTACCAAGCAGATCGAGGATGGCTCTTCCCGTCAGCATGAGGTCTGCAGCATAGCAGCGAGCCTCGTGTACTCAAACATCGACTTCAAGCAACCCCGCAACTTGCCTACAAACCTCCCTCATGACTCATGACAAAGCCCTCCTTGGCATGGCCAGGATACGACCGGGGTTGCTGCGCTCCGTCTTCTCCATGTGCGGAAGGCACCACGTTTGAGCCGATTGTGGCCGAAGCGGGCGAGCCGTAACGTTCCGCGCTGTAAGACTCTCCATGTTCGTCAATAACTGCTTCCCAGCTTCAGAAGCATCACTGTTCATTTATCATCGCTTGGAGTTTTGGGCCGAAGCAGATGAAACATCACAAGTGAAGTGCCAAGGATGAACAGCGTGCTGCGCCCGACAAGAACCTCGCCCAAAGAACGAAGTTGCTTGGCCACGCAAGAAGAAACCAACTGCCTACCCCGAAAGTGGAGCATACCGTCTGCGATGTTCGACATCCAGGATGCTCTGTGCAAACACTCTTTTCCCCACATCCTTGCACTGCAGATTCGGGCCCAGGGTCGCAGTCGCTTGGCACAGCTCCCCGCCAGCCCACTAAACAGCCCGGCAGTACAGGATCGCTTCCTCACTGCTTTTTGGCCTTCTTCTGTGCCTCTCCCGGAACACGGCCACAGAAGCACTGTTGCCGATTTGCTATTGCCGCGATGCCTTTAAGACCTTTTTGAGAACCGCCAGCGTTCCCTCCACTTCCTGCGAAGCAAGATAGAGGATAGCACTCCAAGGCAGCCTGCTGCACCACGGACAACCTTTCATCTCAGGCCCCACCTTGCGTTCCTCCTTCTTCAGCGTCTGCGCTGATCTCTTGGTCAAGGTCTGCCCGTACGGAAGAAACGTCGGGAGCACTGGGCATCAACAACTCGCAGAATTTCGGGCGCCTATGATTGGTTTATTCGTTGGACGCGGGCTTCAGCTTGGGTTCTTTCCTGATAAGTTTGAGGAGAGACGATTTCACATCCACTGTATGGGTGTCAGGCTCGGGCAGAACTCGTGCCAAGGGCACATTGAGTTGGTTGAAGTATAGTGACAGGAAAGCAAAGGTTGACACGGGTATCCATGGCAATTCATCCCATTCCGCCCCTTCTCCTGGGCGAACGGCTGTCCAACAGCATCCGCTTTGCTGCTTGCATGGGAACTGAGTAATATCAAACCGTGCTGTTTATCCTTGACTTGAAGAGCTACACACCGCCAGTCTGCAGATTCCAGCCTAGCTCAAACCTCTAAAAGTACTCTATCGAAGTTGGGCACGGAGTTCAAGGTTTTGGGATTGGCTTACGGTTCCGGTGGTGTTGTTTCGCCTTGGTTGTCATACTGAACTCTCTACTCTCATTTACACCCAAACCCTAAACCCCAAACTCCCAAAACCCTTACGCTGCACTCTGCAACCGCAAGTCTCGAAACCCTGCAAAAATTACGATGTTTCACCCGCAAGAGATTCAAGGTTCAATTGTGTTGAAGATTAGCAACACACGCTGCTAGCCGAGTGCTGCGACGTTTCGTCGTTGCTTCTTGTTAGAGTGGACACGAGCGCTACAAAACACGGCTTGCTTTGGATTTGCCGAAGTTCGTGCTGTAGGCCGATGTACGTGTTGCTGCGTATGCCTTCCCTTTGTCCGAGTCCCATCTGTGCGGTTTCTGTTCCAGTCCCGCGCATTCTGGTTGGTGTTTGGGGGGTTTTGGTTCAGGTCGTGGTTTGGGGTACAAGTGTCAGGAACCAGGCTTGCACAGCACAGTCTAGCTTTAGAGGGTCACCTCTAGCACATCCGCACCAGGAGAGGTGAATTATATATTGCAATGGCGACCGTTTGACACAAATTGCAGATGGGCTATATCTCTGTGCTTGCTGTCTGCTTGCTTTAGCCCCGACAGCGGCCTCCAGGAGTTGTTGAAGCTCCTCCGGGCTCTTCCCAGAGAGAGATGTCAGCTGCCCCTTCCTGCAATCGGAGAGAACGACGACTAAGAAGGCAAAGTCTCACTCGCAGCCGGGCAGCTGCTCTTCGTTGCAGAACTCGCCGGTGAGGACGTCACAGGTCTTATCTTCAATGCCCAGGAACTTCAACAACCCGGCCTGGAAGGGAGACAGGGCCACATGTTGCCCCAGGGCCGACATCCCGCATCCGCCTTGGTGACCTTTCCATTGTACAATTGCCCTGCAGAAAAGAAAAGAGTTGAGGAGTTGAGACATTGAGGGAGCTTGGACCCCTTTAAGAACTTTGCCCGGAAGCTATACAGACCATGGCAAGGAGCAAACAGCGACTGTTGAGCTGACTAGCGCCTTCCAAGTCACCAGGCTTGAAATACCTGCCACCGTCACCAAAGCCCTTGCACAAGGATTCCCACTCCCACCAGCATGGAGCACAAGATCTTCGGGAATAGCTTGTCCATGTCGCTGGTTTCCAACTCTTCTTTGTCTGCGTACAGGATGTTGAAGACAGACAAACGCTCAGAGAGTCGGGACTCTAATTGCCTGCCTTTAGGAATAAAGCCAAATCGTCTTGCCTGGGATGCTGGGAAACAGTTCACCGCAAGCAAGTGGAATGAAACACTGCATCCCAAGAGCTTTGACAGCATATGGTATATCATATATCGTATGACAGCATGACATCCCCTGTGCTGGAGCTTCTCGGTGAGATTGCCCCTGATTTTTGAAGTAACTGCTCACCCTGCAGATGTCTTCGCTGAGCCCGAGGTGCCACATCTTGGTTCTGCTTCTCGCCGTAAGTCGAAATTCCCACAGAAGCCATCAGCGTGTTGCTGGGCGACAGGTACACAGGTACAAGCAAGTGGAGCAGAATCAGCAACAGGAAGCCAGAAGGGATGCCGGGATTCGGATGCCTGCCGCTCTTGGCGACAACGGCGGCCACCCTGCCACTGGGCCAGCTCAAAGAGCCCCACGCCCAGGCCATCCCAGGCACCGGCATGCGCCGCCAAGGCACGCTTTGAAGGCATCTGCCTTCTCCCCGAACGGGTACTCCTGGGCGCCAATGCGACGACGGGAAAAGGCTAAAGGCTGCGACTTTGACTTTCCGGTCGGGGCCCGGACCCGGTCGAAGCGGACAAGCAGCGGAGGCCAATCCCTTCGGCCCACCAGCCTCCGGTGCTCTTCGGCGCTCAAGAGCGCGACGCTACTTTAAGTCCGCTTAGAGACTCGCTCCCTCTCCATGTCGAAAGTCAGATGCCAGGCCAGGAGGCAATGGGAACGTGGCGTTGTCGAGGTTGATTACGTTGTAGTCCTGGCTACATGATGCCCCCCCCAGCCCAGTTCGGGGCCTGCCTTCTCCCCAGATCTTCTCAGCCGAGCGCCGCTGCCACGGCAGGAAGAGCCGAAATCGCGAATAGTCGCCACATTGCTGGGCCAAGTGCGGCTGTCACAGGCGGCACGTGGCGGTGTCGAACCGTAACCGAACCGTTCTTCTGCAATGCATGGAAGTTGCCAACATGGCGTGCTGCCATCTTTGCGAGCTTGTTGCCATGAACACTCCTCGCATGATGGCTAGCGTCTAGAGCTCCGGTGATAACACAGGAAAATTGATTGGCGCTCACTGAGAAACGCAATGCGGCGTGGGAGCATGTCTTTCGCGGCGCCCACTCCATAATCGAATCCGACTCAGCCCTTCCAAATCCCTTCAAAGATCCAGAAGTGCTGCCGGCAGTCCCTTGCAAGTTACTCTTTTCTAGGTGCCAACACCGACACTTTGACCAGATGAGGTGAGACTGAGCCGAAGGCATCGAGGCCTGCAACGCTTTCCCGTCGCTGAAACATGCAACAACATGCAACTATGGGACGGGACCCGCACTTATTGTCTGCTCGAGCTCGGAGAAGTGGTGGGCTACCTTCTCAAGGCCCAATGCGATTTCATGGCCCTCCATGGCAGTTCGTCAAAGCCCCCTGCAAAAGCACGCACCTTGCGTCCATCTCCTCCTCGTACTCCAACTCCACCCGAGGGCCTCTCGCCCGCCTTGGCGTGCTACATCTAATTACCCTCGTTATCAACCCTCCCGGTCGGCCGCACCTCTTCTTCCGCGCTGGCAGTGCAACATCCTGTCGGCAAGGCTCGAACAAAATCGGCCGCTGGGGTGCTTCAAATCCGAAGCTTTGCACACTTCGTTGTCCTCCATGTCACCCATGCCCAAATCATCCTCAAGCTCGACTTCTTCCACCTCCGGCCGGACTACAAAACTACAAACAGCTTGCTCGGAACAGACTCACGAATGCCTTGTTATCAAGGTCCTCCCACTCCTCCTCGTCGTCTTCTCCGAAATCCTGCCGTCTGAGATCCATTGCTGATGGCTTAGCAAAGCAACTGGAATGGTAAAAGGCACGGCAGCACCGTCACTTGTGACCACGTGATTCGGGTCACTTGTGACCACGTCATCCGACGCTTGTGACCACATCATCTCTGCACGAGCCCCACCACAACAGCGTCCACTTGCATGTGACCACCTGATGTGGGGGGGTGAAAATTGAACAACGTTGTGTCACGAGCTACACCACAACAGCACCTACTTATCAGCTGATGTGGGGGGTGGGGGGTGGGGGGTGGGGGTGGTCTCCTGCCCTGTCCGGCGAGTCGGGAGCCTCCGCCAGGAGCGCTCTGTAGGCTTCCACCACCTGGGCACCGATGCGTGGGGCCTTCCAACGCGGGGCCTGAACAGTGGCGCCAGCCGGAAACGCACGGGCCGCTCTGGAACATGTAGATGTCTCACGAAAGGCCTAGAAGATTGCAGTCCATGGAATCAACACACCCATTTGCTCAGTGTTTCTTCTTTTTGTCTTTCTTTCTTTTTGTTGTTGGGAAGGGGGGGTTGGGGGCGCTCGCATCACAACCACGTCGGGAAGGTTTGGGGGGAGGGTTGAGTTGTGCGGCACCTTGTTAGGGCCATTTGAAGCACGTACGCAGTCACAAGTGACCCAAAACGAGGGGGTCACAAATGACCCAGGTGACGTGGTCACAGCGACCGGTATGCGGAATGGTAGCCCTTGGATGCCCATAGCATATCACAGTGCAGCAACACACACCAACTTGGAGCAGAGATGAAGGCACAGCACGTGACACCAACTTCTCAGACTGGAAGCGTCCTCCACAAACTCCATGTCGCTCTCGTCACCCTCCTGTGCCTCCTTTGATCAAAGGTATGGCCACCGTGCTTACAGTGCTCCAAGAGCGCGCAAGAAAGCGGCCTTCTCCGCTTCTCCATCCTTCTCCATGATGCTGTCGAACCTGGTTTAAAGGTCCCCCCCCCGCCAGGCCGCAGGGGGCCGAGCCGCAGGGAGCCGCGCACTCCGCTCTCTCCCAACACAGTTCCGCTGCCAACGGCCGAGAGCAGCGCTGCTTCTTGGGGAAGTTGTAGATATCCCCGTAGGTGCCCTGAAGAAGAGAGAGAGAAGAGAAGAGAAGCATATCAGAAGAGAGAGGGCGCACTTGGCGCCTGCTTCAGGCGCTCCAAGAGCTCGCGCTCGATGGCCAAATCCACTTTCGCGGCGCTCTCGGCCTCGAAGCAAAGCGGGCGGCGGAAGCGCCGCGCCGCGGCCGCCCCTATAACCCCCTCGCGCCTTGAGCTCCCGGGTCGCTTCGCGGCGTTCCGTCTTCTTCTTGATGGGCACCAACCTGCGACGAGGAGGCGCCTCACTCTTCTGCAGCGGCGGCGCTGCTGCTTCTTGTCGGTCGAGACTCTGGGTTGCAGCATGTTGCGGCCATGGCGTGACATGATACCATGACAATACCATGACCTTGACAGCGGGCACAACAGGGAGGGCGCACTTGCTGCCACCTTTCAGCGCCAGCTTGCGCATCCTCCGTTAGCGCACCAACAGGAGAGATTCTCGTAGCCGAAACGTCGCTGGGCCGTGGGCCGGATCAGCATCTGTCGCATCTTCGTCAGCCGCTGTTTGCAGCGGTTGATGATGCCAGCTGGCCAGTACCTCGGCTCCAAACAGCGACCCCTCCCCCAACGGGCAGCTCCCTTGGGTTCAAACTCCAGATGCTTGTTGATCTGCTCCAGGGCCTGGAGGTAGTTCCTCCGAAACGGGGAAACGGGGAAACAGCGCTCTGCTCTCGCTCCTCTCGATCTGCTTTTCTCCAGCTCGTGAAACCGTCCACAACACCTTGGACTGTGGCCTCCATGGCGCTACACTAATAGAAAGCAAGCGGCATTGGCACAGGCTCCAGGACTCTACGCTTGCCGCGAGCACGTTTTCTGCAAAGGGCGGCTAGCAGCTGCAGCAGCGCAGCAATGCGCAGCAATGCTTGCAATTCTTGCCTGGGCTATCTTCATCGAGCACTGGTCTGCAGTCGCCGGCACTAAAACACTCGTCCGTCCCTTAGAGGACAGGTCTCGTCATGCTGAAAGGGTGAAACGGCGCGAACGCATCCACTTAGCCAAAGCCACTGGCAAGGATCCTCGGAGCAGAAGAAAAGAAAGCTCGCTAGCCGCTTCACGTGGCTTTCGCTTGACGCGTTCGCTCCCAATGCAGGCAGCGGTCGTCTTCTCCATCGGTAGCCGTGGCATCGGCATGTGCATCTTCGTGAAGTTGGCGCGAGGCCCCTCGTCGAGCTTCCTCGGGCCAGAGCGAAGCAGAGCGGAGCGCGCAGCGGAGCGCGCGAAGCTCCGAGTCTGAGCCAGGTGTCGTGATGCAGAGCTTCGTCTTGGACCGCATGTCGCGCGTGTCGTGATTGAAACCTGGGCTGTAGCTTTAACTCTCAAGCGGTCTGCAGTCCCAACAGCGCCTGAGGCCAGCTCCCACGCTGGGCGCGCTCCTGTTCTTGTGCAGCACCTGCTTGCCAAAGCAGCTGCGCGCTGCGTCGTATTTCGAGATGACATCATCTGGCCTGCCAGCACAGGGACTAACAAAGAGCTTTTGGCCGCAACCCTAAAGGCCCCAAAGGCTCTATGCTCAGGTGCCAAGGGCCAAGGGGCTTGGCTTCTCGGCCAAACTTCGGCTGCTTGGAGAAGGAATACGTAGAATGGTTGCGACGCCGGCTCAGATGCTGAGGGCCAATCGAGGAATCCTGGAATCACCAAGAGCAAAGCCTCATGACCCTTGAACCGCGGTCTGTGTTGCCCCCCCCCTTCAGCTCCTTTCGCTCGAAGGTTCCGGGTCCAACCTGGCACAAAAACTTGGAGATATGTTTTGCTCAGGGTTTTATTGTTTTAATCAGTGACGGTGTGTTTTTGATTTCTAGGTTGTCTATGCTTTGCTCCTGCTTGCCTGTTCTACCTGCTTCTGCTCGCTTGTAAGTTTCTGCTGGTTCGTGCTTTTGTTTGTTCTGCTTCTCTGCTTTTCCACTTGTCTGCTTCGCTTGTCTGATCCTCGGCTTATCCGCTTTTCCGCTGTTCTTTCTGACTGCTGCCTGTATTTGCTTATCTTTGTCTGCTTGTTCTTGCTTCTCCTTTTGCTTTTCTCCTTTTCCGCTTTCTGCTTCTCTGCTTCTATACTTCGCACTTAAGCTGCTCCGCTTTTCTGCTTGTCGGCTTCACTTTCTTCTTGCGCTCTCATCCTTCAGGTCTCGTCCTGCTTCGCCTTCTCCTGTCCGCCCTTCTGGTTTGAAACTGCTCCGATACACTAAATGGGTTCTGAAGCCCACGAGGACTACGAACTACTAACTTCTTTATTCGTAAAACTACTATTCTTATTCGTATAATTAGCAGTAGTAGCAGTAGTACTACTACGACTCCGACTCCCACTCCCACTCCCACTCCTACTCCTACTCCTACTGCTCCTGCTTACGCTCCCGCTCCGGCTCCTGCTCCTGCTCCTGCTGCTGCTCCTGCTCCTGTTGCTGCTGCTGCTGCTGCTGCTCCTGCTCCTGCTCCTGCTCCTGCTTCTGCTTTGCTGCTCCTGCTGCTGCTGCTGCTGCTGCTGCTGCTGCTGCTGCCGCTGCTGCCGCTGCTGCTCCTGCTCCTGCTCCTGCTCCTGCTCCTGCTCCTGCTCCTGCTGCTCCTGCTGCTGCTCCTGCTGCTGCTCCTGCTGCTGCTCCTGCTGCTGCTCCTGCTCCTGCTCCTGCTCCTGCTCCTGCTCCTGCTCCTGCTCCTGCTCCTGCTCCTGCTCCTGCTCCTGCTGCTGCTGCTGCTGCTGCTGCTGCTGGTGCTGCTGCTACTGCTACCGCTACTGCTACTGCTGCTACTCTGCTGCTCCTGCTGCTGCTGCTACTGCAAGAACACAGAGCCCGCATAGACCCTTTCAGAACCCGTGATACAGACGTGTTTGCAAATGGGGAGGGCCCACCCAGCCCGCTTTCCTCCGCCTCAAGGGCCCGGGCTGAATCGCCACATGAGACGGCATGTTTAAGATATATGACGAACCGGCATCGCCAAATGAGGGGGCGTGCTTAAGACATATGTACATCTATATACATATATATATATATATATATATATATACAGTGTGTGTATATATATATATACACATATATGCATATGTGATGTGTGTATATAACATATACATAATCATATATGTATGTATATATGTATATATATATATATATATCAGTTACTACGATCGCAGACGTTCGGTGCCCTCACTGAACAGACGATCGGCGATCGCACCTTTTTCATGCGACCGCAACGTGGGAGTCGGCCACAGTCGGATCATCAAAATTTCACTTGATCTTCACAAGTCCGATCGGACCCCCGATCACCGAGGGGTGCGCCATGGCATTCACCACAGACCGCAACATCATCCGATCGGACACATCAGACAAGCGATATTCCCCGCGAACAAAATTAAAAGTCTTCGATCGGATCATCGGGCTCCGGCGACGGCTCCTCGATCGGATCGTCGGCGAGGGGGGCCGCGCCGAGCAAGTCGATCAACTGCCGCTCGGCAGCACGAAAAGCTGCATCAGGAGTAGCTTTGGCTTTCGTCCGAGCGGGAGCAGCGCGAGAAGCCTGGTACGCCGCGATCTGGGCGGGAGTCGGCGGCGCTTTGGTCGGCGGACTCGAGCTTTTCGCAGGCACCATGATCTCGGTGCCGGGAAGGAGCTGCGTACCGGGCGGGAGCTGATCCAGCCGCCGCGGGGGCTGCCCCGGAATGACATAGTGAGCCGGTCCGCTGATGCGGACGTCATCGGGCACCTCGTCGAGCGATCTGGGGGGCTGCCCTGGAACTATGTACTGAGCAGGCTCGGCGAACAAAGGAGAACGCCCTTTCGGAGCCGCTCGGCCTTGGCGCGGCAGACCAGCCTTGGGATCCACATAGTAGACCGGCTGATCCATGCCTCTGTTTCGAGCAGCTTTGGCCGGGGGCGCTTTGGGCACCGGCCGCTGAACAGAGGGCACGCCGATCACTTGATCCCAGTTGAGGGGAGGATCTGCCCCGTGATCGTAGCCGGCCGGCTGGTGACGATCGCGATCACGATGAGCCGGCGGCGTGACCCAGGGGGTCTTTCGGCAGAAATGACACATATCCAGGCGACGATCGCACGCCGTGCACAAAGGAGTGCGCTGGTTGGGGGCCCACTCTTCGCGGGGGACCCGAACGGCTGCGTAACATTCGTCTTGGCCGTCCCCGTCGCAGAAGCAGCCGGTGAACAGGCCGCAATCCACGCAGGGACGGCAGAGCTGATCTGTGTCGCCAAAAGCGAGCGCTTGAAGGCCAACGTCGTTGCGAGGATCCCGCATACCGAAAAGAACAGATAGGGCGGAGAGGGTGGGATTTTTCGGTATGGCCCGATCGGCTATCGCCAAAATGGCCACGGAAAAGATAGATCAAGTCTGTTCCAACGATCGCGAAACTGATCTCCTAATTCCTACCCACCAGACCGATAATTAGGAGACCAGTTACTACGATCGCAGACGTTCGGTGCCCTCACTGAACAGACGATCGGCGATCGCACCTTTTTCATGCGACCGCAACGTGGGAGTCGGCCACAGTCGGATCATCAAAATTTCACTTGATCTTCACAAGTCCGATCGGACCCCCGATCACCGAGGGGTGCGCCATGGCATTCACCACAGACCGCAACATCATCCGATCGGACACATCAGACAAGCGATATTCCCAGGCCCTCAAACTCCTTTCGGAAAGTCCGAGAGGACAGTGATCCAACCACACATCAGACCTGTAGCGACATCACCACGAGAGGGTTATCCGCCGGGTTCGAATCGGTCGGTACCCGATCGATATAAACTGAGCACCTAAGCTCCAGAACAAGCTCCCAGAAAATTCCTACGAGCTCGCAGACGTCCTCTTTTGCAGAGTAGCCTTTGATCAAAGCTGCCTCTACGGGCTCGGAATCGATAAAGAGGAGGACCAGCTTTCCACGGATCTCTTCCCTGAAAGTCTGTATCGCAGCGACCGCGGCTAAAAGTTCGATCATGCAAATTTGGGTTTTCCGGGGGAACCACCTCGACATGATCAGCCGTGACACCCCCGAGGCGAATTGCCTAGGCTGATCGCCCCTAGTGAACATCACTCCTCCAATCATCTCAGAAGAGGGATCCTTGGGGTTCGAGCTCGGCGCCGATCCATCCGTGAAGATCACCACGTCGGACTTCCGCGGCCCCGAACTGGGGATAGGCCTCGGAGGCCCGTGCATCACGAGCGTCCGCCACTTGTTGAGGGAGTAGAGGAGAGCAGGCGATAGGCTCGTACTGACCGTCTTCCGGGAGTACTGCCTCTCCGACAGAGATCTCAGGAAGGCGCGGCCAATCTTCCCCCAGAGCTGCGAAGCGCCGAACATCAACTTTCCTCTGAGCTTCCCGGCTTGGCCGGGAGACAGCTCTTCGTGTTCCAGGATCGCCGAGATCTCGTCGAAGAGCTCCTGCTTCCTGGACTTCTTGATCTTGAGCAAGTACTGATCGAGGTCATAGGTCACGCCCAGGATCGTGGGATCAGAGCAGAGCTGAAGCTTCTGCTGATCGAACCGGGCCCCGAGCCACCAATGGACCTTCTCGGCCAGCGCGAACGCACTATCTGCCGTGGCCTCCGGCTCGAAGCCGTACTTGTCGTCATAGAAGTTGAAGCCGGCCACCATGAACACGCGCCTTAGAATGTCGGTAATCGCAGCCGAGCGACGGTTGTAGTTATATACGGCCGAGACCAAGCCGAAGGAGTGACCGACCATCACGAAGAACGCCACCTTTCCTGTGGCCGGATCCTTCAGAGCGACCACACTCCACTTGCGATGGGCCGGAGAGATCGGCACCTGCCGATAGGCTCGCCGCTCGTCCAGGACCCAACCACGTAGCGGGGACTTCGGCAGCCGCGAGCGCAGCCACTTGATCACCGCCACGTTCGCGTCCGTCGAGGGGAGTTCGAGTTTCTCGGTGACGATCGTCGCCATGTTGATCCCATTTGAGGTAGCACTGTCAACTCCCCTGACTTTGTTCTTTTGGACCACTTCGAAGCGCTGAGTGGGGATCCAGTGATCATAGCCGACGAACTCCGAGACTTCGGCCTCGTCGAAGAAGGGACCGATCGCCGACCCTTCTCGAACATCTTCCATGGCACCTTCCCAGACCTTGGGAGAGTGCTCGGTGATCGGAGATTTCCGAATCGCTCCTAACACCTTCGATCGAAATTCCCAGGCCCTCGAGCGAAGGGCATCAACCGACAGGTGCTCCGCATGAGGTTTGCGATCGGGCTTCCATCGGTGGGACGAGGCGATATCGCCGACGATCGGCATGCCCGACATGATCTGATCCACCAGATCAGTG